GTGGCTTCTGCTCTCCTAGGGCTTTTCCTTCCCCTCTCATGCCGTCCTTTATAGCAGCTGTGTTAATTATAGAGGGGAGGTCCTTTCATTGTGTAATGCGGTTGGCCAGGCCTCTCTGTAATTGATTAGTCCCTCCAGGTGCATGTAGTTTACTGAAAGGTGGATTAATACGTAAAAATGTAATAAAACCCAACCATGGCTAAAATGTAAGATACAAGCCCATACTAAAATGCAAAACCAAACCATGCTAAAATATAACAAACCAATAATTTACAGAAACCACAATGTCCCCCTGGTGACACATACATGGAATTTGCCTCCGGTTAATCCTTTGCTCTTCACATACTGTATTCCAGTCTACAACAGTAAATGCATTTACAGGACTCTAATCACATCCCAATTATTCAAAGACAAGCCGTAACATTTATTATTAATTAGATGTTAATCAAGCTATTATCATGCCCTGTATTATAAAGGTTGAATAAGACAGGTCACATGGTCTTATTAGACCACTTAAACTTAATTTTGATCCATAGTTTAACACTGCTATCTCTGAACATTCTGAAAGTAAAATGATGATTTTGGAATTGATAGTGTTGCGTCTTCGGTTTGCATGAGCAGTCAACAGTTTTTGTTTCAGCCGTGAATTAATCGTATGCAGAAGTTAGACTTTTCAAAGGGTGAATTCCATCGTTATTTCTCCGAAGGAGAACACAAAACATGTGTGTGTGTGAGTGTGAAATGTTGGCATGATTAAAAGACCTGGAGCAAAGAGCCATTTTGTTGAATCATACATTTTCCTTGTTTACGTTTCAAAAACCTCTCAAACACTCACAAATCAGGCCACAAAAAACACACACACACACACACACACACACACTTCTGGTTCCATCTGTCACAATATTCACACATCTTTCACCAGCAGATTCTCTTTTCTAGCCATAGTAATACAAAAATATACGAGAATAACTAGAACTATAAGAAGAAGATTCTGATCAGCTGACATCAGTGATTGATTTACTACGCTACGGTTAGAAGGACCGACGTCCTGATCCATCAGGCTGATATCGTCGCATGATGATGCTCAAAAAAGGCCCAAAGCAAATTGAGGGAGCAGAAAAAGAATTGCCGTGTCGGGAATCAGTCAAATCTACTGGCAGAAGAAAGACTGGAGTGTGCAAACAAACCCAGTAGCAGCAACCAGCTCCAGTCAAACACACACACACACGAAATGTGTTGTCAATCTACAGCGGCTGCGTGTACATAACGCATTTGACAAATACCCTGAAATACTTCCGCTCCTTTGAGTAAATCTGCGTGTTTAGTCTCAACACGACTCCCAGTATCTGGGTCACGTGACCTCTACTCAACAAGGGGGAACTCGCCGTTCTTTCCCAGGAACGGCCCGCTCCACCGTCACACCGGGAAGCGTCCCAGCGCCGTCCACCAGTAAGCAGCTCCAGTCGGTTGGGCCGGCTACGGGCTCCTTCACCTTTGTTCTTGCCGCACTCGAAACCCGGCGTCCTTTTCCGTGCCTCCGATTGTTTTTCTCCCGCACGCAGGACCTGTATTTGTTGTGGGTTCGGGGCTCGTGGCGTCTAAAGAGCAAGGCGAGATAATTCTCTGAAACGATTCAAGGACGCGAGCCGCCCTCTCTCTGGCCGCGTGTTCATGTGATGACATTTCCCGAAAGGCCCGCGCGCTCACGCAGCGGCTCGGCGAAGGAACGCTCGGCGCCATTGAACTGATGAGCCGACTGAAACCAATCAGCCGATCCCGCTTTAAATCCCCGGGAGTGAAAAAAAGAAACACGCTTGTCGGGTGTTTTGCAGCTGTTTTCTCGGGCCTGAATCTGTCGGACCGCCTCGTCAACACAACACGAGCTCTTGAGGAATCAGTGTGGACGGGGGGAGGGAGGGAGGGAGGGAGGCGGGGGGGATACTTCACATGCACACACCGTATCTCCACTCTAATCTCTCCACCAGCGTGGTGTTGTGAAGGGTGTTGCTGTTTTCCCTCGCCGTCCTTCAGTGTTTGTGTAACGCGGCTCG